TATATATATAGGATATTACTCCCTACCTACCGGTACATGCACATGTGTTGTCCTATACTATATATCACCACACAGAAACATTACTAGTATTTAGCTTTTCAGATAAAAATTACAGAACTTGAAAAAGTCTGCAACTGATTTTGCCATCCTTGTGGAGGAAACACTCCTACAAATACCGTGTAGGGGGAAAGCAAATTGATAACTGCGAGAGGACATTTCTACATTTGCTTTCATAATACTGTATATTATGAAATGAAACAATTTATCTTGATATCTAAGTAACAGTGCGCATTCACTTGTTTTCTACATCTTTAGAAACAAGTTTTGTTTGGTCAAGATAATTCTAAAACAAGCCCGATTACCACTCAGGAGGGAAGGGAGGGAATACTATTTGCACGTGAGTTCAGCTTGCGAAAAATAGACCAAAAGCTAAAAAAAAAAAAAATCACAAAAACTGCAATTATGGCCATTATTGGCCTCTGCTGATGTGTGATTTTCCTTTTTTTTTTTTACACATAGTGCTGCAGTAAAGCACTGTAATTGTTCACTTTTGAAACAAGATAGTCCCAGGACATGTTGTCTATCATGCACAAGAGCCACACGCCCAACACTGTGACAATACCACTCATGTGAGCCTAAGAACAAGTCTGGTGTAACAGCTGCTGTTATTTTCAGCTGAGTAGTATTTATTGCTGCTGACTGAGACAATGAGTGTTGAAATGAGTCATTCTCATTATGACAGACGGCTTCTTATTAGCTTACCGTCTTCATGTGAGTGTGAAACTGTTTGTGTGCAAAACCCCCTTCCAGCCATACAAGGTGGCACAGCAGATGGACTGAGACTGTCAGGATCAGAGGCAATACCCCTGGTGAATGTCTTTCAGCCCACTGTAACGTTGCACTCAGATACAACCATTGTCATACATACGTAAAGAGCAGCCACGTGGTAACAGAGATTTAAACAGAAAAGCTTGGATACACTCTTTAATGTTATCCCGCTGACTCAGAAGGTTGATTAAAGAGATGGAAACATCATTTTCATCAAGACCTGCAGATGCCTTATTTGGGGCCGAGAAAGAGTCATTAAAACTCATAAAAAAATCTCTCTCAGAAGTGGTGCGAGTGCACTCATGAATACCAAAGTGTTGGGAAAAAAATAATTTTCAAAGAAACCTGCTGGATATAATTTACTTTTAATTTACTACTCTAATTCCATCCAGTTTGAATATGCTTGATTCAAAGATGGATAACAAAGTGTGCCTCTCAAGATTAAATCACAGCAGTGTTTGGCTCCACAGTTTAAACATAGCGATATGTAATGTGGGAAGCACACAAATGTAGTTTACGGTTTCATTTCACTGTGATTTTGTTCCAGAGGTTTGGTCATTTGAAAACCAAAAGGACCAGTTAGAACACAAGAAAGGTTAAGTTCTGTCACATCTAAGTGGTCTTTTGTCAACAAATTATAGTTTGGTAAGTCCTCACCTATTGTGGATAGCTTTTTGAACAGCTTCAGTTTGGAGAACATGAGCTGATTTTTGGCTAGGCTGATGGCTGATGAAAGGCTTATCACAGATGCTTGCATAACATAATATGGCTATTTGCAGCTATAAATATGTGACAACAGCAGCTAGTCGGGACACTTTCTGATCAATCAAGGGCACCTTTAGCACAAATTTTACTTTTTTTCTACCAAATTAACCACGTAGCATAATGCATACATGACAAGTTGTACAGATTTCTCATTAATTACACAGAT